CTGTGCTTCTACCTGGCTCTCCCTGCTCCCTCTCTCCTTTTCCCCACCCCTGCCCCCTTGGAACCCGGCCCCATATTGTGCCAATCCCAGACCACATGGGGAGACCACGTGGGGAGTGTTCTGACCCACAGACCCAGCCAGGAACAGCCCACATCCGCCTGTGAACCAGTGTCTCTTCAGCCGACCCCAGCCCCAGCCTGAGTCTCCTAGCTGGGGCCTCAGCTGTGAAGCAGGGACAAGCCCGCCCTGCTGTGCCCCTTGCAAACTCCTGGGCCCCGACGCCATGGGAGACACACATGATGGCTGCTGTTTGAAGCCACCAAGTATTTTGTTACCTGGTAGTGGGTAATGGGGGGACGGACACAAAGGGAAAGAGACTGTGTGTCAGAGAGAGGCAGAGACAGAGACAGACACACACAGCAGATCAAAGGGACACACAGAGCCAGAGAGACTTTGGGGTGGCGCACAGCCTCCGGGGCTCTAGGGAACGGTCCTTCCCCTGTCTTCCAGCTTCCGGCTTCCTTAGCTGTGGTCCTTTCACTCTAGTCTCTGCCTCTTGCTGTGTGTCTGAGTCTCAAATCTCCCTCCGTCTTTCTCTTATAAAGACACCTATCACTGGATTTAGGGGCACCATAAATCTAGGATGACTGAGATCCTTCATGACATCTGCAAAACCCCTTTTCCCAAATGAGATTCCAGAGGTTAGGAAGTGGACTTATCTTTCGGGGGACCACCATTCACCCCCTTGGCTAGAACATAGGTTCAGCCCTGCACCCGGACTAGGCACAGCGCGTGGTGGGGGTGGCCATTGTCAATAACAAGCCCTGGCCACCTCAAGTGAAAGAATCAGAATATCTGTGTGACCAGAGGCAGCTTTCAAGGAACAGAGGCGTCTGCCAGGATAGATAAGACAGCTCCGGGCCAGCAGTACGTCAGGCTGAGAGGAGAGGTACAGACGGAGACTGGGACGGGGCGGGGGGGAAGGCTGGCAGGGAGCCCAGGCGCCCAGCAGGTCCCTGAGGGACCGCAGAGGCATCTGTCACACTGGCACTGGCAGTCTGGCCGGGGTGTGGGGACCAAGAGGCCTGGGTATGGGGACCGAGGGCCCAGTGTGTGCAGACCGAGCTCTCGCAGGGAGCCTTGGGGGCTGCAGGAGGAAGGAGGCTGGAGCACGAGCATGCGTTATGAGGGCCCAGAAACCCAGCTGTGGAACAGAGGCGTTCAGGAGTTGTCAGCCTGAGTGACAGCAACCCAGCTGAATGGAACGAAGGAGAGAGGGCGGGCGGGCGAGGCAGGGCGTTGGGCTATCCTGAGGTGTGGGGTAGGGTCCCAACTCACTCTGGGTTTAAAACTGGGAGTCCTCACTCAGGAGCCCCTCCAGCCTGGGGCAAACTGGGGTGGTTGGTCACCCTAGTGCAGGGATCCTTCTCTAAGAATCTGCCGCTTGTGCTGTGAGGCAGTGCTCCTGTGGACACAGGATCAGGCACCTCCCACCTTTGTTTCTGAATGGCCCTCCCCGTCCGCCAGTGACTGCCACACAGTAGATGCTCACACAGGAGTCATCTGGTCTCATGGAGCTCTGTGGTCTCCCGACACCCATGGGGCCTCAGACACCTGTGGGGACACACACACACACAGGGCCCCCGCCAGCCAGGGCTTCCAGTGGTGGCCTTGCGGGTCAGTGGGCTCAGAGGTGCACACTGTCCCCCATTGCTTCTGGCAGACGACAGCATTGCGTGGGAGGCTTCGTGGGCCACGCTGACCGTCCACTGCCCGGGCTGAGGGCTGGCATGGACACTGCTTCTGGCCTTGGTCCCCCCTTCTCTCCCAGTGGGGGCAGTGAATGGAGGTGGGTTCCCACCCAGGGAAGGGGTGTGGGCAGAGGTAGGCCTGGCTCCTGGACCCAAGGGAGCAAAGGAGGGCTCTAAAAAGTGAGGGAGGCCCAAGGCCTCCTGGGAGGAGCCGTCCCACATACAGGCCCACAGGGGCCCTGGGCCAGGAGAGCTGTCTGTTTACCACCAGGCAGGTGGCCTTTTGCTGCCCCGTTCCCGGAGCTGGGACATGGGGGTGGAGCTGCCAGCAGCACCAGCACCCCGAAAAACCCGGGTCAGGGGTCCTCACTAGCAGCAGTGAGGCTCAGTTTCCAGGAGGGGTCCCTGGCTCCCTGCAGCGCAGAGGGCATTGGGGTGGGAGGAGGGGCTGGTTAATATGAGGAGTCCTAGCCCCTTCCCAGACCTGCTGAGCCAGAAAACTGCTGCTGGACATTTTTGCTATAAAAATTATGTTTACTGAGCACCACTGTAGCTAAATGTCTCACACATCTGCTGATTTCCTTAGAATAAATGCTTAGAAGAGGAATTTCTAATTACAGATTACGAACATTTTATGCCAAGCCTTCCTCCAGAAAGATTAGTCTAGGCTGCAAGGAGGGGTCATTTGGGGACACTGAGTGTTTCATTTTGGGGACATAGATGAGTGGGCTGCTATGGAGGAGGCCTGAGCTGTCAGATGGCAACAGGAGTTGAGGGCTGATTTCAGGGTGGGAGGAAGTGACAGGGGTGGGAAAAGTTGAGGGTGCCACTGGAACTAGGAGGGCGGCCGAGACAGCCCTCTCTTTGCCTAAGATGGCACTGGACCTGTGTCCACCCCAGGCTGGTGCTGCTAGCACAGTGTGCCCACAGCTGTGATGGCACCAGCAAATTCCTGCTGGTCGTGGACCCTGCGACCTGAATGGGTTCTGTCTGCAGCATTTATTGAGCATCCGTTTGAGGGTGGGTGTTTTGGGTTTAAAGGACCTGGACAAAGGGGGGCCCCGAACAGAGGGAGAGTGGCTGCAGGGCTGGACCATCCTGGGTCTGAGTCCCATCTCAGCCACTGTGAGTTTGGGGCATGGCACTGAATCTCCCTGACCTCAGAGTCCTGAAAAAGAGAATGAGGGGTAGTGCCACTTCAGCACCTGCTGGTGTTGGGAGCACTGCCCCATGCCTGGTGGGCATTTAGGAGGGGCTGGGCATGCCATGGGCCGACTGGTGCCTGAGGTCCTTCTCCAGGGAAGACAGGATCCCCAGGGCACCTCAGAGCCTGGTGCAGGCACCCTGACCTCTGCTCAGGCCACCTAGCCCTCGATGCAAAGGTGCTGGCAACAGTTGCTGGTGGGGATGGGGCTCTCAAACTGGCTGCACGTTAGAATCACCTGGGAGCCTCAAAAATCCCCACCTCCAGGTCACACTCCAGACTGACTGCGTCAGATCTCTGGGGGGAAGGGTGGGCTGGGACCAGGCTTCCTTTTTATAGTATTGTGGTAATATACACACTATAAACGTTACCATCTTAACCTTTTTCAAGTGTACAGTTCTGTAGGGTTAAGTACATTCACACTGTAGTGAAGCCAATCTCCAGACCTTTCTCATCTTCCCAAACTAGACTCTGTCCATGAAACAGCTTCCCATTCCCCCTCCCCAGGCCCTGGCACCCACCCTTCTACTTCCTGTCTCTATGAATTGACTGTTAGGAACCTCCTATGAGTGGAATCACAGCATTTGTCCTTCTGTGACTGGCTTATTTCACGGGGCATAATGTCCTCAAGTTCATCCATGTTGTGTGTGTAGCATGTCGGGATGTCCTTCCTTTTTAAGGCTGAGTACTATCCCACTGTATAGACAGATCACACTGTTTATCCGTTCACCCCCAATGGGCACTTGGGTTGTCCCCAGGATTCCATGTGTTTAAAGCTCCCAGGTGTTTCTGTGTAGCTTTGGTGGAGGCCGGTAGGCTGAGCTGCCCTGGCTCCCTGCAGGGCAGAACCGTGGGCGTCACCCTGGCCGAGGGCCAAGGGTGCTCCCTCCGCTGTTATCAAGTCCAGACAGCGTTGCACGAAAACCCCGTCCTCCAACAAACACCCCGCAGGGCCTGCAGCCAGGGTGGTGCCACCCAGTGCATGTGCGCCAGTCTCAGCACCGGCACTTACGCACTCCTCCTGCGGGTACCGGTTTCCATCTGCGGGGCTCCCCTTACTCCAGACACTCCTGTTATTACAACACAAGAAGGCTAGCAGGTCACATGCAGGGTTGTGCAGGCTCCGCCCACATTCAGGAGTCCTCTGCTGTGTGTCCTGCTCCAGACTAATCTTCACTGCCCTCCGCGTCCCCTCCCTGCCCATCTACTGAGGCCCCCCTCCTCCTCCAGAAACCTTCTCTCTAACTCGGGTGGGGAGCATGGAAACAGCTGAGCGAATCCATGTTTAAGAGCCCAAACTCAATACACACGGTTGGACAGCAGTTCAAAAGCGAGTGTGTAGGAAAAGGTATTCGACAAATGCTTCGTGTCAGGTACTGAGCTGTAATTGATAGACATGACCCTTGCCTTCGTGGAAGGCATTTGCGGGGAGCATTCATCTAATACCACATGAATATATGCCCAACCTTGCGGAGCCCCTCCAACTGAAGCTGCTGCGGGGAACAGAGCTGGAAGCTGCGCACCTTCGCATCCACGCTCTCCCGGGGCTGCTCCGAGCCCACGGCTGAGCGCGGGGACACGGTGTAGCCGGGCATTGCTGCCCGGTGCAGGCTTCCTTTAACCGGCACTACCTGGGACGCCCCGTCTGCCAGGCTGAGGTCAAAATCCAACCCGCATCTCCAACCTCGCGCGGCCACACCCACACTCTCCCGGGCGATGGCCACGCCCACTCAATGGGGGCGGGGCCGAGCCGACCAACCAGAGTTCCCAAAGGCGTGCAATTAAGGCTCCGCCCCCAGGTTAACGCGTTTTCCCAGACTCCTCTGCTTCTTATGTGGAGAACGCACAGCCCCGTGGGGGACTGACAGCGCGCGCCCCGACAACCTGCGCCGGGTGACAGCGCCCCGGCACTTGTTCGCCCTCACGTCGGGAAGTGAGGCGGCAGGGGGTGCCCCGGTGCCCTGCGCGGGGATCCGGAAGCCCGTGGGGCAGGCGTGCGCCCGCCGGAAGCCGTGCCCCCGGCGCGAGCCACCTGCCCGCCGCGCCGGAAGTGGTCGCGGCCGCGCTGTTTCCGGCCGGCGGGGCGCGATCAGGCGGGGGCCGAGCGCCGCTGTGGACCCGCCGAAGGCTGCAGAGCCCATGGCGGAGGGCGGCGGCCCCGACGGGCGGGCCGGGCCGGGGCCCGCAGGTAACGTGCGCGCAGCCGCCCGGCCGCGGGCTTGTGGGGCAGCGGGGGGCGAGCGCCGAGGCGGTTGCGTCCTCGTGTGGGCGGCGGGTCCGCGCGGGTCAGCGCGGCTCGCTGTGCGGCCGCTGCGTGTCCCCGGCTCCTCAGCTGCGGGGACACAGCCCTCGCGCAGGATTTCTTCTCCTGTGGAACTTGCAGGGTAACTGCCAGCCCGTTAGCCGATACGGGTTTGCTACGACCCCAAATGTAAACATAGGACACGGGCCATCTTGCAGCGCTGAGGGTGCCGGTCGGGAAAGCCTCCAAAGCCAGCTCCTCGGGAGGGCAGGTGCCTTTCTCCATCACGCCACCCCCAGCGGGCTGTCAGTGACACAGCATGTCCAGGGGCCCTCGGCCGACCCGCAGGGGAGGCAGCTAGAGGGCCTCGCGCCCCGCGCCCGAAAGCGCCACCTGACTTAGGGTTTCCACCTGGACTAGCCCTGGTGCGCACAGGTGACTTTGCCGGGCGCGTGCGCCCTTCGCTGGCGTTGCGGAGCGGCTCCCTCCTTCCCGCCGGCTGCGTGCGCCCTGTGCACCAGGTGCTCATCTGTGTCTCTGGAGAGAGACCCTTCCAAAGAGTGTATTAGTCTTTAGTAATGAACTAGGATGTTTATTGCTCCGACTCCCGACTGTGCCGTAATTGAAGATACAACGCTGGCTTGGAGACCGGAGCAAGCAGCACTTTGCCCCCGTCCCTCCTCCCAGCCATGTTCGTTGAGGACGTATTGGCTGGACCTCGCTGGGCTTGGGGACACCCCAGGGGACAAGTACACGTCAGACAAAGCCCCTGCCATCCTGGGCTGTGGTTGGTGTTGACCTTGACCCCAGGGACCGCCAGGACCTTAGGGCCTCGGATGTCACGTCATGTGAGAGCGAGGGATGGAGTGAGAGGTGTTCGGCTGGAGAAAAAGGACTGACAGCTGCTTCCCAGGACAGAGAGGGGGATCTTGGGGGAGCAGGGGTGGGTCTGCCCTGCATTACAGGGCTCTGTACGCAGCACTGCCTTGTTACTGAGTGCGTTGCAGGCCTGGGAGGGACGGGGCTGGTCGGGGTAACCGTTGTCACTGGAGAAGCTGATCAGAAAAATGCAGACCTGAAGTCACCTGGAAGGCTCTGCAGCTGGGAAGAGGATTGAGCTGCACCGAGCTTGATCACGTAGTGGGTTGGAGGCCAGCAAAGGGAGGCCCCCAAAAGCCCACGGCTCCCACTTACCTGTGGGGCCTTGCCTTGCACCTGAGTCTTACCGACTCCTACTCTGAACCTTTTCACTCTTGGGGTGAAACTCAGGGGTAACTACTGGGGGGGGGTAACAACTGAAGGAGGATTGGGTGGTGGCCCCAGCACAGTCCTTGCTGCCTGCCTGTTGATCTGCTGCAGGTCTGGTTGTGGGATCAGCTGGGGTGACTGTGTGTGTGTGTGTGTGTGTGTGTGTGTGTGTGTGTGTGTGTGTACCCCTGCTGCCCACCCACCCGCCTGCCGCCTTTGTGTCTTACCGCTGCCAGTGGACTGGCAGATCCCGGAGGGCCAGGAGACTAGTTGTCATCCCCGCTGTGCTGTGGTCGAGCCTTGTGTGGGAGGAGCTGGCCTGCGGAGGGGTGTGCTGCCTGCTGTGCTCCGTCACGCTGGGTCACAGCTGGGACAGTGTGGTACGTGGGACTTGAGCGCAGGCAAGCCCCTCTTTCCTTGTGACCCTGTCTGTGTAATCATGCTTACGAAAACTTATTTTGTTTGGGATCTTCTGTGCTCTCAAGTAGGTTTGGTTCACCATCCCCCATCCCACCAACGTTTTTAACATTTTTATTCTTGTCAGGTTTGGGGTCAGGAATGTGCTACTTTCATTAGGGGAAACTTTCTATGTTTTTCTGTGCTCTGGAAGTTTCTGGAGCATGGGACCGATTTATTCTTGAGAGGAAGGGGTCGCTGCGTTGGCGCCCCCTTTTGGTGGGTGGCGCAAGGTTTCCCGGAGTTGACAGCAGCCCTCTCTCCAGTGCAGGTCCTAATCTGAAGGAGTGGCTGAGGGAGCAGTTCTGTGACCACCCGCTGGAGCGCTGTGAGGACACGAGGCTCCATGACGCCGCCTACGTGGGGGACCTCCAGACGCTCAGGAGCCTGTTGCAGGATGAGAACTACCGGAGGTGAGCGTCCCGCTGCCAGGGGCGGCCCGGGCCCCTGTGCGCCTGCGCACCTCCGAGGCTCGCGGCCCGTGGGGGAGGCCTGACGCTCTGGTTTGCAGGCGCAGGACCCGGGGAAAGGGCGCTGAGGAAGCGTGGTCAGACGTGCAGAGATCGCCAGAGAGAGGGCGCGGAGGCCTGAGTCCAAGTCCAGCTCTCGCGCTTCACCTTTATGTTTTCTGGCGACGCCTGGCCCTGTCTGGGTGTCAGCTTCCTTCGGTGTCACTCCTGAGGCAGCGCTGTGACCCTCTTCAGTAGTGGGTGGCCCTGTCCCTCGAGAGTCTCTTGTGGCTCTTTATCCTACGATGTACACGTACATTCGCGTTCCTTGTTTATTTTTACCTGGTTATCCCTCTGTGGGTCTGGACTTCCTGAGGTGCCATAGTTGTACGTCATTCCTGCTGCACTCTGCCCTCTGGCTTCTCAGGTCCTCAGTCGTCCGTCCCCAGGGTCTGGGGACAGCTGTCTCGTCTCCCAGCATGTGCATGGTGCTCATTCTCGTTTCCTTTGTGGGTGTTTCGGCCCTGCCGTTGCCCTGCCAAATCCTGCCGGTTCCTCCAAGCCGGCCCAAGCCCTTGCTGTTACCCGTCCCACCTGGGACACCTGGGAGAGCAGAGAGCCTTCCTTCTTTTGGGTATTCTCTGATTGCTTGTGTGTCTTAAGACTGGAGTCCCAACTAGATTAAAACTCACCAGCCTAGGGCCGGCCGAGTGGCTCAGTTGGTTAAGAGCTCGCTCAAGAGTTTGAGCTCTGAGCAACAGTGGTTCGAGTCCAGCCCGAGCTGAGCAGCCGTGAGCTGCCAACAGGTGGCAGGATGGCTCAGCTGAAAAAAAAAACAAAAAAAAAACTCACCAGCCAGAAACTCCTCCATGCTTTTCCTGTGTTTCGGCTTTCCTAAAGGGACCAGGAGGGCAGGGAGTTGGTAGAAGACGTGCTAACACCGCTTTCTGTGGGTAGCTCCCCAGAAAAGGATTTCCAACAGTATAGAAATAGGTTTCTTCCTTTTATTTCCTTCTCATGTCTTAGCGTTATTCCATCAGAACAAACAGGTATGAGTATTAAAATCAAAAACAAAAACTCTCGATATCCAGAAAGGATTGTCATATGAAGACATCAGATGGAATACGCACTAGCATTTAATGTGAATGACTCAAGCCCAGAGAAAACCTGAAAGTTGCAGATATAACAGTAGAATAAAAACAGCAGAATAAATTTGAATTCAGCTGTCTTAGACCAAGTATTTTCACATTGTTTTTCCAAGTACTTTTTCTTTCTTTTTATACTTGGTTCAGGGCCTGTCCTGTTTCTTGATGATATTTGTTTTGTTGCTACATATTTCTTTGGTGATGAGTCCTTGGAGCATTTCCTGGCCTCCTTGGCCAGTGAAGCTAGTTCACAGCCGAAGGAGGAACCCCTGACCCACTAATATTTCTGGGTCACTGCTCCCGCGGGCTGGATTCCTGAGCTTTGTGCAAAGCTGCTTCGGAGCCTGCGGTGGACCGTGCCTCGGCAGGTGGCTTGGTGGGTCGGTGGGCGGCATGGCTGTGGCATTTCTTGACAGGCAGTCATGGTCTGATTGTCACTTCCGATGAGAGCTGAGCCTGGACAGTTTCCCTGTGATGCTGGCCAGGAGCGTATGCCTTATGCTGCCTTAGTGACTCCTGCAGGCTGTCATTGGTGCTGTGTCAGATCAGAGAGACCACAGTGGTCACCTCATTCCAGCGAGGTTATCGAGGCCTAGAGAGCCCTCCAGGCTCAGCCTCCACAGGTGGTAGTTGGTGAGGAGGGGCCTGGGGCCCTGAGCCCACCACGGTGAGCCTGTCCTCCCTCTGTCTGAGCTGCCTCCCCGGGCACGCCCTCCGTCCTGTGGAGCGAAGAGCTTTGGACTACGAGTCAGAACCCTGAGGTCTCTGCCCTCATGCCCATCTGTCTACCTGTGTGTGGAGTTTCTCCCTCTGTAAGGGGGGTTCTTCCTGTGCTGCCACGTGACAGCGTTTCACACTCCAGAGCCCCCGTGGGAGCGTTCCTGAAGGAAGGGTGACTGTCTGAGGAGCCTGCCCTGCCGGCTTGGGGTCTCGGGGTGGGGGGCAGAGCTGCACTCGGCTCGCGGAGCCGCCCCCAGCCCGGCTGCCCTGTGCTCTGTCTTAGTCGCATCAACGAGAAGTCTGTGTGGTGCTGCGGCTGGCTCCCCTGCACGCCCCTGCGGATCGCGGCCACTGCAGGCCACGGCAACTGCGTGGACTTCCTCATCCGGAAGGGCGCCGAGGTGGACCTGGTGGACGTGAAGGGACAGACGGCCCTGTACGTGGCCGTGGTCAACGGACACCTGGAGAGTGCGCAGATCCTCCTGGAAGCCGGAGCCGACCCCAACGGAAGCCGGCACCACCGGAGCACCCCTGTGTACCACGCCTCTCGCGTGGGCAGGGCCGACATACTGAAGGCGCTCATCAGGTCAGTACTGCCGGGCGGCCCCAGGGCCTGCAGCCACCACGGGGAGCGGCTGCGAGTGCCGTTCCTGCAGCCGCGCTCTCACCCCGGCTCTGTATTTGCTGTTCTCGCTCGCTCTCAAATTGGACTTGTTAGAGGATGTGTTCATTTTGTTAGTCTTTTCAAAAGCTGCTGCTTCATCAGTTCTCTTATTTTCCTTAGTAATGAATTCCTATTTTTATCTTTATTTTTTCTATTTTTCTTTACTTTTCCCCTAACTTTTTGAGTTAAATGCTTTTTCACTTTTTCTTGGTTAATAATGTAAACATTCAGGGTTCTTAATTTACCTTTGCCTATAGCTTTGGCCAGATCCACTAAGCTTTGTCTTCCTTTTTAAGTAGGTATAATTGAAGTTGGTTTCCACTTTGTTCTTATGGTTATAGAGGACACAGTTTTAATAAAAATGTTTATGGACTTCTAATTTATTGTATTGTGCTCAGATAATAAGGACCGTCTCATTTCCATTTTGGGGATTCTTTGAATTTTTGAAAATTTTTTAACGTCAGACGCCATTGCCGTGGCTGTGTGTAACAGAGCCCGTGACCGCGGGCGTTCCCTGTGCACAGCACAGCATGGCGGCCTCAGCTGTGCCATTCAGAGCCCCTCTCGCTTTTTAACCATTGGATTTGCCCCCAATTCAGCAAGTCTCTAATCACTGTTGTGATTTGTCAGTTTCCCCTTGTGTTTCTAGTGTTTTTACTTCCTATATTTTGATGCTAATTGGGCTTATAAGAGTTCTTATTGATTATGCTCATTATCAAAACAAAATGCTTTTTTGATTGAAAAGCCTGTGGGTTTCACTGGAGGCTTGTTGACACAGCACTCTGTAACTTCGTGGGGTAAGGAACCCTTCGTGTGCTGGCCTTTGGTATCTGACTGTCTGACCTTCTCTGATTTTTGTACAATCGCCATTACTGCTTTAGCTGACGTTAGGTCTGTTCCTGTTATCTTTCTGTTTTTTAACTATTCTTTTATTTTATCTCTTTGTTCCATGACCTGTGTTTTCTTTGCTTTCCCTTTCTATTGTTAGATGGCTTATGGTCTTATTTTGGTTGTCCCTTTTTTCTCATTTGAACCAGATTGCATTCTTTTTTCCGTGTCTCCAGCGACTTCTTTCTAATGCAGATGCTTTCCTCCTCCCCTACTCTGGAGGCAGCTGTTCTGTGGACCCAGGGTGATGTGGGTCACCGGTTCTCAGTGTTGAAGAGGGTTAGGGAAAGTTATGTCAGCGGTGGGCGGGGGCCGGGGCGGAGGAGCAGGGACCTGGCATTCCCCCTGCCGGGCACAGAACGTGGTGTTTACATTCAGTGCTGAGAACCTATTTACTCCATCGAAAGTTTTCCTGTACTAACTGGCTATGAAACTGCTTTTGGAGAGATAAAGAGGGTGGGGTGGCTGTGACATGAAAGAGCGATAAAGCTGAGATGCTTTTCCCTTCTTTTTCAGGCTTTCTAGCCTGATAATCTAATCCACCTCTGCCCCATATTTTTGCATCTTGGAGACTGTAAGTCATTCATTTGGAAATGGTTTTGAGTAGGATCAATCAGTGAAATTTCATCTCGGTTCCAGAAACCCCCCTGGGCATTTCGGTCAGTTCATGGTGCACAACTGCTTTGAATTAACTGCGGGCTTGACTTTCAGAAGTACAGACACAGATGCCCTTTTTGAGAAAAGGTCATTAAGACATCTTGTTCTCTCACTAGAGCACGAGACTTGACTTTTACGGTGAGGTACCAAGAACGTGGGTCATTCCTCCCTTCCAAATTATCCGATCACTGCCGTGCAAAACGGGAGGGATGTGGCTGCTTACTGAGCAGATAACACAGTCTGAACACAGTCTAGATGCACCGCGGCCCCCGCCGTTTCCCCCCGAAGGCCGGGCTCGCTTCTGTCACTGCCAGGTTTGCTGTCCCTCTGCAAGTAAACCTGTTTTGTCACATGTAAATTCCCTTAATATGTATTGCTGATGTTTTTTTAAAAAAGGTAAGGATTGGTATTTCTCTACGTGCAAAAGTTCTATTGATTTATTGAGTTGTCCCAGTGGTTCCTTGCCAGTGATATTAAAAGCAGTAGGGGAATTTTGGAAAATATTCAGAATTAAAATTAACTGGATCCCATCCAGTATATTTTTATGAGTGGATGCAGGGCTGTCTTTCCCACAGCTCAGCTAACACCAGATTGTCATATTGCCCAAAATTACAAACATTTTGGAAAATAAACCTCTTAAGAATGAGGAGGGGAAAAAAAATCACTGGGTGAAACCTAGTTCTCCTTTTCTTAATTGGTTGAGTGTGTGAAATGAAACAGCTTCCGCTTGGTTTGTACGTGTTCTGGGATGTTTCTCTTGTCACTCTGAGGCTACCTGGGAGTGGGGTGATGTTTGCCACCCGACCTCAGTGGGGAAGCGGACTGTCGTGAGCATGTGAGTCTCCTTGCTGTCCCGCCCGTCCCAGGCCTGTGCTGCCTGAAGGCAGCAGTGCTGGTTCCAGGGGGGTGTTCCCTTGGACACTCGGAGTAGTGCTGAAAAGACAGATGAGAAAGCACGACGGCTGGCGGTGACTGTGGGCCAGCCATTGTTAGGAAAGCTGGAAATCGGTGCTGTTCTCGCTGACCTGGACCCCATCAGCAGTACTGCCTACAATTCGCCATTCCCTAATTCAAACGAAATACGCGCTGACAAAACCAGTGAGGCACTGCAGGACTGTCCAGGGCCCTGGCGGCTCAGGCCAGCAGCGACTGGTGCCCAGTGCTCCCCCAGGTCAGAGCCCGGTAATGCGTGCTGGCCAGGCATCTCAGAAGCGAGGCTGCGCTCTTCTCGGTACGTCCCATCAGGTCGCACGTGACTTCAGTGACTGCCATCGCTGCTTGCGTTCTCTGCCAGCTAGATCTTCAGGTAGATCTATGCCCTTTCCCTGTGTAATTAGTAAGGATTTTGTGGAGAAGAACTTTGCATCCATGTACCCTGTTTCTTATGAGAGTTTTAATTTATTCATTTATTTACATTAGACTCTTGGTTTCCTATATTGTCTGATGCGTTACTATTTAATGATATCATTGTTACTTATTTTGACGCTCAGAATGTCTTAGCTTTGGCTGTGGGGAGCCCTGTAAGCCAGCTGTGTCTTTGACACGTCCCCATCACCCTTCACACAGTCCCTTTCTCTCTCCTCAACACGGCCTTCTGGGATCATCTTGTACTTCCCTGTGTCAGCCCTGGAATTAGTCATTTCTCCAAGGAGTCCTGGTTTCTTGTGGTGGAGAATGTGTTTAGAAGACCAGACACTGGGAGTGCTCACTGCTGTGGGTGTGTCTGTTCAGCCCCTCCTCCTCCTGGACGGAGCTCAGGTGATGTCCACACATTTCTGTCTGTATTCCTGTGTCTGTGGACATGGAGGGTGACGCGTTCACCCGGTGCCTCTGATCTAGCCAGCACCACAGGCTGCATCCTGCTTTTCTGTGCTTACTTACTCTTCCCTTTTCCCGCAGTGAGAGACCTGGTTCCTCATCTTTAGCATGTTACTTGCTTTGCCAGGACCCCACGTGCACCAGTCTCCTGTTACTGCTGCTGCCCGCCCCCCCATGCTGTCTCACCCACCCATGGGGCCCTCACGCCCCATGCCAGGCAGCTTCCTTAGCAGGCACCCTCTTCTCTGCCGCGACGGTGACCCCGAGGCCGGCACCCGCCCTGTGGTCAGTGGCTCTGCTGAGAGTGAAGTCACCCAGGTTAGCGGTGTGCACTTGGCCTGGGACAGCTCTAAATGTCTGACAGAAAGGCATGGATGTGGGTGTCCCTGAGTACAGTGACAAGGGCCAGTCCCTCATGGGGACCCTTAAGGCTCTGCCTGTTGAGTCGTTGAGAGATTGGCTCTGGTCAGAGTGAGGCTTCCAGGTCAGGTGACGCCTGTACATGCCCTGTGTGAGATTTGTTTCCTCACATGTGAGCTGGCACCGGGGGTGAGAAGAGGAGCTGGCCACCCATGGGATTAGCTCAGGAACTGCACGAGGACACCCAAACCCCAGGGGCCTGCTGGCCAGCTGTGCGTCCAGCCCTCGTCCTTCCAGGTGGATCTGACGCTGGGCGCAGCCTGTTAGGTGTTCCCGATGGCACCAACTGGGTACCCAGCCGGGCTAAAGGGCTGCGTTTTGCTTTCGGTTTTTAGGGGCTGCTTTTTATTTAATTTGTTTTACAACATATATTTACATGGTGCCAAAGTCAAATCTATAAATCAGAATACAGTTGACCCCTGAACAACCCTGGGGTCAGGGGCGCTGACCCCTGTGCAGTTGAAAATCCACGTGTAACCTTTGGATCCCCAAAAACTGAACTGTAGTTGCCCCTTGGTGTCTGGGGGTTGCTTCCAGGATCCCCACAGATACCAAATCCAAGGACGCCCAGGTCCCGTTTATAAAACGACCTAGGACAGTGCATACAGCCGACCCTTCCAGCTGAGTCCCACCTGCCCCGTGGGTCAGAAACACTGTTTCCAAGCCTGGGTTGACTGAACCTGCAGGTGTGAAGCTGGGAATACGAGCGCCAGCTGCACACTGAAGAAAACCCACATGAGTGCACCACGCAGTTCAAACCCATGTTGTTCAAGGGTCAGCTTTATTTTATAATTTTCCTCATGCAGATTTTGGACATTTACTGTTAAGTTCTTGCTTACCTATCTCACTTAAAAATTTATTTTGCTGACAACAGACACCACAGAAATACAAAAAATTTTAAGAAATTACTATGAGCCACTAGATGCCAACAAACTTGACAATCTGGAAGAAATGGATAATTTTCTAGAAGCGTACAACCTTCCAAAGCTAACTCAAGAAGAAACGGAAAATCTGAGTAGACTGATTACTACCAAGGAAATTGAATCAGTAACCAACAAGCTCCCAACAAACAAAAGCCCTGGAACAGACAGATGGCTTTACAAGTGAATTTTACCAAACATTCAAAAAAGAATTATCACCTATTATTTTCAAACTGTTCCAAAAAATCTTGAAGGAGGGAAGGTGCCCAAACTCTTTCTATGAAGCCACTATCACCCTGACTCCAGAACCAGTACAAAAAAGGAAAACTACAGGCCGATATCCCTGACAAACATAGATGCAAAAATCCTCAACAAAATATTAGCAAACAGAATTCAGCAATATATTAAGAAGATCATACATCATGGTCAAGTGGGTTTTATCCCTAGTATGCAAGGTTGTTTCAACATCTGCAAATCATTAATGTGATACACAACATCAACAAAATGAAAAATGAAAATCATATGCTCATGTCAATAGATGCAGAAAAAGCATTTGACAAAATCCAGCAGCCATTTATGATAAAAACTCTTAGCAAAGTGGGAATAGAGGGATCATATCTCAACATAATAAAGGCCATTATGATAAATCCACAGCTAACATCATACTCAATGGGGAAAAGCTAAAACCATTCCCCTTAAGATCAGGAACAAGACAAGGCTGTCCACTTTCTCCACTTTTATTCAACATAGTTCTG